TTCTTAAAAAAATTCTTCTATTAGAAAAGAAATCACATTCTAACACAAATAGACCAGAGATGTAGATATCTCTATGTCTCTGAAAGGACTTATCTGGGTTTTTTTTGTACTTTATTGAGTTGATTTGGAAATAAAACGTATTTAAATGTCATTTTTGCTACCCCCGCCCCCATGGCGCTTTGCCGCCATTAAAGCCATACACCGTAAGTCGTGTTAACATTGACAGGTGCGTGAGAAATCACGTGACCCGGAAACGTACTTTCGGCTGTGGTAATTGTTTATACGGTCGTACGACCGAAAATGGTCTTAACTGCGACTGAGGTCGTACGACAGTGTACATAAAACGGTCATGTGGAAATGTAGGGTGTTGTATTATGGGTCTAATAATTAATACATGTTGTACACAGAGCGTGCACTTGAAATGACCACTGAATGTTCCAAGAATATACGAGGCGGGAAGATAATGGACATGCACATTACAGTATAAGATAGTATTAAGATTAAACATATGTATACACAAGTATTATCATTTCCAAAATGCTTGGAATCGCCGTTCAGCCATGAATATAGAAATAATATTTCCTTTCTTGCCTAAAACTTTATTGTATGTGGTCTACACATAAAGCCAACAAAAAATACTTGATTTACTCCTAAAATTCCGTTCTTGTCAAAATATTTTGACGCGCTCAGTTAGATTCTGCTGGGTCAGAATGTAGGAGATTCTCAGTGAAATTGGACGATAGTTTGTAGGGTCAGTTGAATCTTTTCCAGGTTAAGGGATTGGAATAACCAACGATTTTTTCAAAGTGTTGGGAAATTTACCAGATACCTAAATCATGACCTGATACAGAAAATTGTCAAGACCACGATTTCGCCCGGATCATTCTATTTCAACATAACTGTCGGGTTCGATGAAATGAGACTGTCTTATCACATGATAAACAAAAATGATAATTGTGATTACTAGACATAATCTTAAGTTTGTATTTTGACAATTTTTGGTGAATGAACGCGAATTTCCCTAGGAAAGAGGTACCAAGTGAGCTTTTCCCACTCCTGTTTTTTCCAAGAAGTATAATGCTTCTTCCAGTACTATTATCCATCTAGAAAACAGGATAGGCAATCTTAAACTGTCAACTAAATAGAATGAATTTAAAAAGATTTTGAAAATTTAAACAGGATCTTCCAAATATAAAGACCCTGAATTAAATTATAGTAATAGTATAGAGACGATACTTTTAAATGGTTATACAGAAAATTATCAAGACCAAGATGCAGCCCGAGCCATGATAATTCCCTGTTACTGTCGGGTTCGATGCACTGTGACTGTTTTATCACTTGATATACAGAAAGAGAATTTTGATGACTATACATAAAGTTATGTTTGTATTGTTCACCCCTCCATGAATTTGAATTTAATTACTCTATTTGCAACCTCGGTTACGATTACATATAAATTTTCATTCCTTAAACCCCATAGCTGAAAAGTCAGTCAAAGATACTGTGAGTGTTGCTGATTAGTTGACTACAAACACATGAAAACATTGCCGTAAAGATGAAACGCTAACCGTCAAATGTTCACATGCTAAAGGATTTTGAAATTCATTATCATGAACACAATTATTTTTTATCATCTAAGGCACTTGAAAGTGGTGAATTAGTGAGTACTCCTATTCAAGAATAGGTTTTTACGGGTAGTGCTCCTACCAAAAAGAAACATTTAGGAAAAAGGTCAAGACTTAAAAATTACAAAACTGTTGAGTACGTCCTCGCTCCTGTCAAAACTTGTTTCTATTAAAATCAAAATCCCCAGTACCCTCATCACCTATGCCCATCCCAAATAGGAAAATATTTATTAACTTCTAGCCTGTGATTTGATACAGTCATGTGACACTTGTTATTTTGTTTACGGACACGATTATGCATGAACAAAGAGAACTCAAAACATTTTTTTTACTAAGTGGCTGCCATACAAGAATCTGGTCAGTGGTATGGCTTGACTGTCCATAAACATGTCTTTGTGATAATCCTTTGAAATGGTCATATCTATCGATAGTTCGTACTATTACGAATATAACCTGTAGGCCAATTTATAAATGAAATCAAACGATAATCTTGCTGATTCTTTGGAGAAAGATCAATAAAGGTGTCTGTTTGACACTGTATTTATGCTCATGATATCCTTTCCCCACCACCCAAACGTGAAAGAAATGATGTATTATTAACACATTTCCTGCATTTTGTCAGAAATCAAAAATTATCCTTATGTTTATTACTCCTTTAGACATATTAAACTCTAATTGTTTTATTAATGAAAATGGACACAATTTAGCAGCTTACGTTTGATACACTATTTGATATTACCTGTAATACATTTATCAAATATAAAATCGTGTATTTTTATTGTTTAAGCATTTCAATAAGCATAATAGTGTTATGCAGTTTAATTTAAACTTACTTTAATGTGTATCTATTGTTAATGTCACACTGGGTGCTTGTGAATAAAAGGTATTTGTAACTTTAAATATATTTTGTTACGGTAGTCATTAGAGCATTGATCAATATTCTTTCAATGATGACATTCAGTTTAAAGTTTTACGCATTTAAATTGACTATATCTATTGAATAGTTTCTTGAAATTTTATTAATTTTGTTACGCAAATACATTTGTACTTGTTTCTTAAATACATGTCATTTAATTTCTCTGCGGATGTTACAGGTACATTTTTGGATGCTAGTTGATAAAAAAATTATTCAGTATGTAGTCAGACGATGCCGTTTACGTTTAAGAATGATGTCGACTGGCAACAGGGCAACGTGCATGTTAGAAATGTATCACTAACCAAACTCTATGGATTGGTGTGATTTTCGCTACAAATATCATTCTGAGGTGGCTACTATGGTGGCCGGTAGCGTCCATTTTAAAGCCGCGTGAAATTTTACCATCATTTTATAAAATGTCGCGGGCATCTTTTAAACCATTTTTCAAATTCGATATCATTTAAGATGTCGCGACTTAGAGAAACTATCAAGTTTTTCTGACAAACTTTTGTCGTAAAAAGTCGAGTTTTATATAGGAAACCGCAACATTTCCTATCTACATAGTAGACTTAGCAACTCAAACATATGCCTACTTTATGTAGCCGGTTGCAGCCATTTTATCCTCGATATGTTGTTCTGATGCATACTATGTAAAAAGTCGAGTTTGCATTTAGCCTCGACTTTTTATGCCGGGAAATGTCTCTGAGCAAAATTGCTATTTCTCGCCGCGATATTTTATGAGACCATTGTGGAACAAAAAGTCGTAGCCTATACTTTTCCACTCGACTTTTGTAGAATTACTACAGCACTGCAAATAATGTCGCGGAATTCTTTCTGTTCTTCGACCTTTTATAGGCAAACGAGAGATAAAATGTAGAATAAAACCATGGACGCAATCGGCCACTGATATCAACATGTTCCTTGCTGTTTTCAGCAACTGTTTGTTGAGGTTTATACGTTCCCGCAACATTTTATACGATTTCATTAGAAAATCTCGATGGTTCGTAAGTTGCTCGTGACATTTAATTGTAAAACGATCAAATTTCTCGAGGGTTTTATGGCTGTTAGCAGCCACCATATGCTACAATCAAAGCGCACAAGATAGTATGAACTGATATAATTCCTGTGTTTCAGGCGATGCTCTTTGATCCGTGTGCTGACAGGAATGACGAGGTGGAACACTTCCGTTCAATTAAAAATTGCAAGAGAATTTGTTGTTCACCTTTCTACATTTTCACTAGGTACGTATGAAGTGCTACTGTGGACCTTTCTGCAGAAACAGTGTTTGAAATTTTACGTATAGCTCACCTCTACGAAGTTTCAAGTCTTGTACAGTATTGTATACACGACAGAGAACGCCCGGGAAGGTAATAATCGACCCGCAAAATGAATAATGGCCTCGAGGGTTTCAGTCCGAGGGCATTATTCATTTCAGGGCCGATTATCACATTCTGGCTCGTCTATGACGTGTATTTAGGTCACACATAGAGGTCATTGAACAATGCTTGTCGAAGCAAAACTTCTACATTCATCGGGGCACAAATGTTTACCATGTGGCTAAGTTTTCCAGGTTGCTGCTACAAAAGTCAAGGTCACAGAGAGAGTTCAAAGTTAAGATAAAACAGAAGATGTGTACAGGGACCATTTAGTCATCATTTATTGAAGGATTGAAACACAAATGATAACTATTATGACTACAAGTGTGACATGTGTAATTTAGGTTAATATTTGCATGGTCAATCTCTCCAGAGATTATAAAATATCCAGATATTGTCGGATAATAATCAGAGCGTGTCTCCTATATGCATGTTTATAATGCCCACATCTCTGTCAAAAGCTTTTGTGACGGGCGTATTTTGCGACAATAATGCCCTTGCTGTAATTAAGAATTCTTATAAAGATGAAATACAACTTATTTTAAGAATGATTTTATTTTTATGATATATTATTGCACTTTCATCGCTGCTTTCCTAGTGAGATAATCATCTAACATCAATTATTCAAACAGTATAACACACAGGTTTGCCTTTTCTTATAAATATTCTTATTTTGTAAAAAAAAAATCGTTACTCATTTATATTAAACATAAATAACTTGTATTTATTAAACTGTATATATGATCTTTTTCTACGACTTTAAACATGCACATTATGTTCAATTTTATGTAAATGCTCTTGAACTATTGAGCAAATAACGATAATGAATGAATGAGTTATCAATTATGCATTAAACATAGACTTCTTGATATCTGAAACCGTAAACTTTAAAATTTACCGATTTTGTTCAATCTTTTCATTAACGTTTTTTAATAAAGTTAAAGCATTTCATTACAATATAAATCAATGTTTAATGAATACATTAATGCATTAAAAAACCCACACCAATCAATATTTGATCAATAAAATACTTGAATGAATTGAGACCAAAGTCTACAACATTTATTATTTTGGCTGTTAGCAGGGTATAGTCTTGCATTTAGTCAAGTTGATCACCATCGCATTAAACGCACTAAATTTTGCTTTCATGTAAAGAGAATAATTTTGGAAAATTACATTCAAATCGTAAGTTTATGCTTATTTCATTTTGTTTTACATCAAGCTGATATGTTAATTCTAATTTGCCTATGAAATATAGATAGGAGAGTCAGGTGCATTTATAAAGGAAGTTTTCATGGCATATTGCTTACTTCTACGCTCAATGTAGTTAGACATCTGTCTATCAATTCTCTTTTCAATTTTCTTTTTATGTTAGAATGGAAATAGAAATTCATTTTTTCTTGCGTAGTATAATAATGCATAGTTTATAGTTTAAATGCTTTGTAATTAATCGCTCGTGGTTATTTTCTGTTCTTTTGAGGTCGAACCGTGTATTATTCTCACAATTGATAACTATTTCCTAAAAAGTACTATTTAATCAAGATTATAAAAATGATATATTTGTCATAACCAATCAAACAAACACATACATATTTTTCTTGTTAACTGTTTTAATACCAATATAACAGATATGTTAAGTATGCAGTCAGGAGACGATATTAACGTTCAGGAATGTAAACAGACGTATCATGTCGGCTGGCAACAGGGCAAAGGTCTCGGAGCATGTATGTTAGAAATGTATGACCAAAGTTTTTGGACTGATGTGACTTTCCGCAGCAAAGATCACCCCGAGGCGGTTTCGATCAAAGCACATAAGATAGTTTTAGCTGCTAGAAGTCCAGTATTCCAGGCGATGTTCTTTGGTCCATGTGCTGACAGGAGTGACGAGGTTGACCTGGAACACGTGACTAGGGAAACATTCGACTTATTCCTAAGGTAAATATGAGGTATAGTCAATTAGTTAACGGACTTGGTCGATAAGTAAGGCTTTGAAACATGGAAAAACTGAGCACGTGGGTCTTTGATAAAAGTCTATTTTTAACAGTCATATTTTCTTAATCGAAACTGGAGCTAAATTGTATAAAAATTATGTATGATGTTAAAAACGTGTTTTCCAAAGCACACGCTTCATTCAAAATGAAGTATTGTGTTGTCCAATCAATGATGAAGCTTGCGGGGTATTTGTTAAATGAGTTTGTGTAAAAAAGGCCATGACACACATTTTAACGTAAAAACATATTGCTTAAATTTCAAATATCTATTTAGATTCTGTGAATTATAAATGTAAAAACTGTGACAGTTTTTAAAACTTGTAGAAGTTGTAGTTACTTACTTAAGTATTAAGATAAACTATTTAAAAACAAAACACAAATTCGTGACCTCGGATGGTTTCTTCTGTGTATTTAATACAGGACTGTAAACCTCTGCTTGGTAATTTCGTAGTGGAATGCCTTTCTGGATTTAACATTACAGGTGTGATATTATATCAAATGCAGTCGCATTGAGTAAAGAAACATTGATGCCATTTTAATTAAAATCAATAATCAAAAATATTGCCCCTCATGACTATGTGTTCGAATGCAGACAGGGACTTTGAACTCTTTCAAGTGAGGAAGCTATCCAACTAGCGTATGGAACGTCGGTGGTTCTACTCGGGTTCCCTTTCGTGCATGAAATAATGCCTTCCTCCAGTAGTAATGCTTGGAAGTTGCATATGACGTTTACTGTGTTGGTGTGACGTAAAACCCAACCAAAAAAGGATAAATAATGAAAAATAAAAAATATCTGGTGGAAACAAACCGATAAGTTTTTCACATTAAATTGAGGGAAAGTGAAATTAGATGATGCTCACAACCATAGTTATCGATCACAAATATTTTCATTTAAATTGATGGATTATTTATTAGATGACTGCGCTCATTTATTCCAGTTCAGTAATATTCATTTTAATAATGAATTCTACTACGATAGCGATGCACATATCTGTGTGTAACAAACGAAAATTCTCTGATACTTTTTTTTTAGATATCTCAAAAAACACTAATATTTATCGCTGCATTATTTATGTTCGCATAATTTAGATAGAAAAATTGTTGTGCAAACAGTTTAGCCGTGTATTTCTTTAAATTTACGTAAATGAATAAAACGAATCATGATGAATAGAGTTAGTAATCTGGAGATTTAGACAGTAGAACTGGAAAAAATGTCTTTTTTCGTTAAAAATATCAATATGTAATGACATGTAATTATGTCGGACAATGATGAATACTCTTTCTCAAATACACAGACTATCGGCTATAATGTGTAAATATAATTTATTCTATGCAATGCTTTATTGATTAAAAAACTTTATGTTAGAGGATGGAAACTGCCCTTGCTATACATTGTACTGTGACCAAACCTGATGAAAGCTCTTTAGATTAATGAATAACATAGCCCTGTGATTAATTGTACATCAAAAATTCACAAAATACTCCTATCATTGTCCAAAATTGTTCTCAATTAAAATAGTTTTGTAGTTGAGAATAACATGGACTATTTTTAAATCTGGGTATGAATGAATGAATATGTATCAGTAAGTAATCGGTATGCGAAACTTTACGATTGTTACGTTTTCCAGAGTATGTGACGGTATATTGTAAATGTAAATACTGTTTATATGATTTAAATGGAGGTATTTGCTGTTTGACATAAGTAATTGCTAATGTTTTTAGTAAACGTGTTTTAAAGGCAATTGGTGAATATAAAACGGAAAATGCATTGTTAGTTTGATGCTGATCGACGCATTGCAAAAAAAATATTCTCATAGATATAATTAAGGCAGTTAACAGTGATAAACGGTGCACAGAATCGCTATGATATATAGAAGACTCTAGCACGTCCTGCATTTTTCTCTGACCAAAATGTGTGAATATATGCATTCTTACACGCTTTACATTATCCCCCCCCACTATAAAACAGATAGGACAATCAAGTGCTCAAGTGCATTATAACTTACATGTTTGTGCGCTCCAGAACGTTCTGATGTTGTCAAGTCATAAATCTAGGTCTAGATATCCCCGATCCTTTCCCTTTCTTGTTGATGGTTATGGTTCTTCTTTTGTTGCAAATTGGCTGTTATTGTCTTAAGATCTGTCGCGAGATGTAGCGCTAAATCTAGATCTATATACTCAACTAGAAGAAATTCTTTAGCTTTAATATCGTTTTTGAAATTTCTCCTTTCATGTTTATAGAGTAGATCTATCGTCAATCTGAAGTCATTTTCGGATCATGATTTGGCTTGGAGTCAGTTATTGGATATTTTCTTGAGATAAAAGGTCTTCTTCAATACTGTGTTTGATTATGTCATCTAACAGTTCGTTCAACGTCAGCAGCTATCTTAAATGTCACTGAAAGTTGATTACGTCATTTTACACGTGCGTTCATTTACTCGCCCATTATTGAAAAAAGTAATAAGCAAGGCGACAAAAATTGCATAATGACCTAGATCTTGCCGTATTGGCCTTGAAATATCTAAATTTCCTAGGTATTAGATAGTTTTACAATGTACATATGTATCATATTATGTTTGTTAGAATGTACGTTATGGTGTTATTACTTTAACTTATAAGCATAAACAATGTTACTTAACTCAAACCGTTTTACATTTTTCACTAGGTACATATACAGTGAAACCCTGGACCTTTCTGTAGAAACAGCGTTTGATATTTTGCGTATAGCTCACTTCTATCAAGTCTCTAGTCTTGTACAATATTGTGGAGACTTTTTGATGAATGTCATTACAACGGAAAACGCATGTGATGTTCTCAATAACGCGATGTTGTACGACCTCACTGCACTGAGAGACACCTGCTGTTCTTTTGTCGACAACCATGCATTGGAAGTCCTCGAATCTGAAAGTTTTATGAACCTGAATGAGAAATGCCTCCTTTACATTCTAAAAGGTGATACATTGTATGCCGATGAAACAAAGATATTTGAAGCAGTTGATAAATGGGCAAGAAAGAAGATTGCAGAAAATAAAGAAGAAGTTAACGGCACGAATGTCCGTAAATATCTCGGCGAGTGTTTTTATCAAGTTCGGGTTCCAACTTTGACAAGTGAATTATTACTTAGAAGTGTAAGTAGAAAGGGATATTTCTCAGTAGAAGAATATGCCGATATTTCAGGTTACATAAATAGGATTCCGGATGTTTCCGTTTCTACAAATTCCAGTGTAAAGCGTATTCGGGAGACAGAAACAGTGATAATAGGGTGTGCTGCAAAAGAAGAGGACAAATACATACGTAACAGCATTTCCAGTACAGTTCTAATAGATGTAGAAAGAGATGTGTGTTTATCAAATGTTGTTCTTGGAAAATTTTGTCCGTATGAACAATTGAGAAAGTCTCTGTATTCTCCGTCTGCATGGTCTGAAGACGAGTTTTACAAACAAACTCAAAGAATATCTCAAAACGATATAAACGTGTATCGGGGTACAATTGTACAAGTGAAGTCAATATTACTGCAAGAAATTAAAGGATACGTTTTAGAGCCAATTGAAGAGTTAGAACTCCCGGAAAACCTGAGTCTTGATATATCATGCAGTGTCGCTATTGAAAGTCTTAGCTTTACACAAGATTTTCAAATAAGACAACTGCACCAAGATGACAACGTTATTAATGTAATTCCAGAGTTAATACTCAAAAAGGAAAGTTCTCCGTATAATTTAAAAGTTGTCCTTCGATATAGCTGTGGTGGTGCAATCGGAATTGGCGAAAAGGTAGCAAAGAAACCTTATCGTGATTTTTCTGAAGCCTCAAAACATTTGCCTGCTGCTAAACAAAATTTTTGTCATATACGCACAAGTTATGTTGAAGGTTTCCCAGGGGCTATCAAAAGTATGGGGTTTAAAAATTTCTCAAATCGTGACATAGAACCAGTACTTGGACTTACAAATAAAAGCGCAAATGAACAGAAAAACGTACAAGAAAACTCTGGTACAGTAGAATAAAAGATAGCAGGAAGGGAATACTTGACCGATCAGTTCAAGTGAAATAACATATTTTCCTAAAACATACCATTTTAACATGTTTTTTCTTTCTTATGTAATGGTATAAAACTGTTCACTAATTTAGTAAAAATGTATAGGTCTCTTCTATATGCAAAAAAGCCCTAGCTCTTGGCATTTGAAATACACGCAATAAATGGTTTCCTATGTTAGTCTATTATCAAGCAAATAGGCTTGATTGATATCAATTTCCTAAAGGTCCGCAGTACAAAATATTAGCTCTTGTATTTTCAAACGATATTACTTTATAATTTTTTGAAGAGTTGGAACTCCCTAAATGCCTAGGACTACATAAATCTAGTACAGTCATTATTGTAAGTTTTTGGTTTGAACGAGATTTTCAAATAAGATAACTACACCAAGACGACAACGTTATAAACGTAATTCCAGAGTTACTACTCAAAAAGGAAAGTTCTCCGTGTAATTTAACAGTTGTTCTTCGATATAGCTGTGGTGGTGCAATCAAAATTGGCGCAAAAGTAGCGAATAAAATTCATTACCGTTTTTTTTCTGAACCCTTAATGGGTTTTCATCCTATTAAAAAGAATCGTGTCATATACACACAAGTTTCGACGGAGGTTTCCCAGGGGCTATCAAAAGTATGGGGTTTAAAAATTTCTCAAATCGCGACATAGAATCAGTATTTGGACTTACAAATAAAGAGACAAATGAACACGAAAACTCTGGTATCGTTGAATAAATGACAACAGAAAAAAAACTTGACCGAACGTTTATAAGGAACTAACATAATATCCTAAAACATATTTTTCATTTCTAATATCTGTTCACTAACTAAAAGAAGTCATATATGTCCCAGTCTGTAAAGCTGCGGCACAGTGTCGAAGAGTTTCGGGTTCAAGTCCCGGACAGGCTGCATTTATTTCTCACCCAGTAACATATGTTTACTACATAGTTGTGTTTGTTGTTGTTTTTGTTTGTTTTGTTTTCTCTTTTGCTTTTTTAAGTTTTATTTTTAATTCAGTTATTTTACATTTACTTGTTTTAATATTGTTCAAGCAAATGCAGAATTTTACAAAAGGAAAACTATACACCTGGAAAAATGTGTGATTGAAAGCACTGTCATGCGATGACGACATAATTGAGCTAAGAAATAGCAATGTGATAAGAAGCGATACAAATTTAGTTATTATAAACCAATAAATTTATGAGTTTAGCAATTCTTAACCAAATTATTGAAGCATTAACAAATGTGTTGTTTTTTACTAAATATTAAGAATTCATTAGTATGGTGTTGGAGCGTTTACAAAACATTAACTGGTGGTATTTTTGGAAAAAAAAGTTGACGATTACGTAACCATGACATTATGTAGCCAAACTTTTAAAAAGGTGTGTAACCCCTACATGCACGGATGATAGCGTGTAACCCCTACATGCACGGATGATAGCCTGAACCCTCCTCATACTACCAGTAAGGCGTCTAAAGCATTTTGAGGTAAATTTTGCCATTCTTTGTGCATAGTTTGTTCCAATTGTTGCAGGTTGACAACAAATTGTTTGTACCATTGCCCAAACAAAATTTAAAATTTCAGTTGTGAACATGTCAAAACTGAGGCAAAACGCCCGGGTGTTAGGAGAAGGGTTGAAGCTATCACCAGGACACGTGGCGGTAACACTCGGTATTAAAAATTTGTCATTCTGGCCATTCTGAATAATTTTTTGCAAATTATTTGAGAATAGGAATTTTTAAAAAAGAGAATATGTACCTTGTCCAGCCCCGTCATTATCACAAAAAACATTCTTGAATAGTTACAATGTAGGTACCATAGTAACATGTATTCTAGTACTTGTCATTTCATGCACATGTACGCTCAATAAAATAAAACTGACAGGTCGGCTAAACACAAAGGTTTGAAAATAAGATTATAGTGCTCTGACAGCAGTCCAAATGGCATAGATGCTTACTAAACAGAAGTCCATTGTGTGTTTCCTAGATGCTGAAAATGCAGTGGAATTGATAATTTTGATCTCTTTAACAGTTTTAATAAATGGTTAAATTATGCCTCAAAAAGGCTAATATCTTTACAAATCGGAACATCTCGGCTATCATTCATAAGTTCCACGTGTGACGGAAAGAACCGAGATGTGTGTCTTGTTACAGTTTTAAAAAAAATCATTTGCCATATAGATGAACTATCTTTTAATTCTTATGCTTTGTTGGCATTAACCGGTGGCACAAAGGTGACATGTATGATTTTATATATCTCGCGCGCACGAGATACTATGTCGTGGCCACGAGTTACTTAGTCGTGACCACGAGTTAATTAAGTCGTGGGCACGAGATACCATGTCATGGCCACGAGTTACTAAGCCATTGGCACGAGATAAATAAGTCGTGGGAACGAGGTACTATGTCGTGGCTACGAGTTACTAAGTAGTGGGCACGAGATAAGTAAGTCGTGGGAACGAGATACTATGTCATGGCCACGAGTTACTAAGCCAGTGGCATGAGATAAATAAATCGTGGGAACGAGATACTATGTCATGGCCACGAGTTACTAAGCCGTTGGCACGAGATAAATAAGTCGTTGGAACGAGATACTATGTCGTGGCTACGAGTTACTAAGACGTGGGCACGAGATAAGTAAGTCGTTGGAACGAGATACTATGTCGTGGCCACGAGTTACTAAGTCGTTGGAACGAGATAACTAAGTCGTGGGCACGAGATAATTAACCAATCAAATTACACTATATTTATATTGAAGTTTTTTTTAACTTAGACTTTCTACTTAAAGTTTTATATGCAACAATAATATTTGAAAATACTGAAAATATTCACTTTAAACTTGATACATGGGTTAAGGATCATATCAGAAAGTCACCTTCCAATGACCATAATTCAGACATTAATTTTGACTAAGTTAAAGCCGTTTGTGGGCACAATTCTGTAATAGAATTGATCAGTTTGTACGTAATACGACCTGTTTACCTTGTTTATACGATAACTTTATTTAGTAGGGATTTTGCCCATGGACAGTAGATAACCTTTAAGGATGTTTGAGGTCAAGGGTCAAGGTTACCCTGACACTTCATGTACTATCCTTGTCTGATGAATAATTTAGAAGAAATAAGCCATGGTTTATATAACAAGGAAAGATCATGTTATCACTTATTTATCTCGTGCCCACGATTTAGTAACTCGGAGCCACGACATAGTATCTCGTTGCCACCACTTATCTATCTTGTGTCCACGACTTAGTTTCTCGTAGCCATGACATAGTATCTCGTGTCCACGACTTAATTACCTCGTTGTCACGACTTAGTAACTCGTGGCCATGACTTAGTAACTCGTGGCCACGACATAGTAACTCGTGGCCATGACATAGTATCTCGTGCACACGAGATAAACAAAAACACACACATGTCGCCATTGTGCCACCATACATTTGGTATAATTGGTATTTTGTATGGAAGTCAAATACTGCTACTACATGTACTTTCTTTTGCCGTTAAACATCTAACATGTTCAAAATCCGTTAAAAAACACATGTTTGACATTTCCAAAGAATAAAAATATGGATTATTCAGGCATTGTGTGCCTTTTAAAAACATAAAAAAAACACTGCGTCAAGTTCAGATATCAATGTTTATTAATAGGCATCTAAGTAATTTCTGTATTAAATTAAGCGCCGTATGCTGTTACGTATATGACAATGAAACATTTAATACTATGATAGTGTATCAGCAAAGCGTTTTATTTTGTTTTGTCTGAAGATATATTTTCCAACTTAGCAATTAAACAGGAAATTTTAAGCCATTTTATCAGTAATTCATAAGATTCAAACCCCGATTGTATTTTTGTTCCGTTTGCAAAGGATAATTTAATAACTTCGTTTGTTGTTGTTTTAGACATACCTTTACATATATAGATCAAAATGTAAATTGAAAATGAACAAAATAATTTCTTATCAAACGTTCGTCACTTTCTTCATAGCTCAGAAGACCATACTTCTCACCAAACACGTAAGTTATGAGCATTTTAAATGTATAATAAGTATTCAAAGGATAATATTTTAAAGGTTTAAACAAAGTTGATCGAAGACCATGGTAATACTTAATTATTTTTCCATATAAATCTATATGAATCAAGTGACCCCAGGGATTGGCCAAAATTTACCCAAGGGGCATGATTTACGGTATTTCAGTTTTGAAGAGGTCTTAAAGGCAGTAATACAAGCCAAATATCTTAGCTTAACTTAATTTTTCCTATATAAATTTTGCAACACCCTTGGCATGGCAAAAATTGACCCTAGGAGCAGGACAAATTTTTTAGCTCTGGGTTTTGCAATTTCACACAATAAGACTCAATGTGTTTACCTAAATATTTCTAAATAAATTAAGCAACACCTGGGATTCGGCCAATATTGACCCACAAACCAATTTTATGGAGGTTCACAAGTCAATACCACATGCCAATATCCAAGTCCTGGGTAATGTTGTTTCACACGATAAGAATTTTCTTAGAACGGGCTTATCTATCATGTCTATATAAAGTCTATATTGATTGAATTCTGGGGCAAACAGGGGCATGACTCATTATCAGGTATGTCCACAGAGCAATGCTTAATGCCAAATTTCTAAGCTCTGACACAATAAGACTTACATCATTTTATCTGACTTAATATGACCAACAATTACTGTATGTACTCCAATCTTATGCTATTCATCAATAGTGGTGTGCCGTAAGACCAAGTAAAATTACACATACAAAATATCTAAAAATAAATTTTAAATAATAAATTATGTTGCGCATAAAAGAATGTTGACACAAATAAATAAAAATGATAAATGCCTCTCATCAGATATAAATAAATTTGTTATAAAATAGATATACATATACATGTACAACATATCTGACCAAAGTTTAACAAAACAAAGAACAGCTGGAGTTTGTTTTTGTTGTTGTTTTGATGTTGGCTTTTAAAGCACACCATAATATGGCCACTTTCCAGGTGAAGTTAGATCTATGTCGCCCCTCAATGCATTTATTCAGGCACCAGAGTATAAACTCCGACTTCCTCACATTAAACAGTCCAAAGTCCCTGGCAGGTTTCAAACCCACAGCGGTGAGAGGCATGTGGTTTGAAGTCAAAACCTTTTATCTATTAGCCACTGACGTCTCTC